CTCAAAAAAACTGAGGCATGAGGTCAGAGGATCTACCTTTTAAACTGGTGTCGCGTTTCCCCATTCCAGAGGTGGAGCCTCCATCTCTTTTGTGCTGTCCTGTAAGACGTCTGGGAAAAATATATGCTAGAGACTATCAATTGCTTTGGTCCACATGACAAAGCATTTTGATGATGACATCCAAATATATATAATTTTACAATTAATTTTGGGTATCAGAGTATGGTGGTTGTTTATAGATGTTTGTTGATTGTTTTGGCTGCCCCATGTATTGGCTGCCCCATGTAAACACCTTTAGGTCCCACTCACACCATTGCATTGTGTTAATTGCATGATACTATGAATTACTATACGCTGTCTAAGGCACACCTAGCGTGTTTTAACATGTGCTAGGTGCATTGCCATTCATTTGAATGGCATCCTAATGCACCTACTGGCATTTGCAGCACAGCAAACACATGTTATTGTGGTACCATGTGTTGCAGTGTAAAAAGGTAGTGCATGCATCTGTGGTAGGAATCCTCCAATGCAGAGGAAAAAAGTACTGACCAAAAGGTCAAACCCTAGGTTATCCAAGTCAACACAGCAGGTCCTGTTTTGTCTGAGGAGAGGGAATGTCCCACTTGGCTTGGATGATCTTTTGGAGGGCTCTGGTGTGAGACTGAGCAAAAGGGGCTGTTTGAAGGAAGAGACCATTAGCACCAGTACCTACATTTGTAGGAGGGGAGAGCGAAGTTGTGCTCCAGGATGGGAGATTTGTTGCCTCAAATTCCAGGTGCTGTCATGGGGGTGAGATAATAGGATTTTGGTACTCACCGTAAAATCCTTTTCTCTCCGTTCATTGAAGAACACAGGGAACAGATCAGAGATCATGTACTGTAGGGTAATATCGCCACCTGCAGGAGAAGGACGCTAGGCACAAAAAAACTAAAGACCAATTACAGCCTAGGGGCGGCCCCTGCCGGTGGCCAAACCCCCCACCTACTGAGAAGTCTCCAGTTTAGTAACAAGCAGTAAAAGGAGTACACACCCACATAGAGGGGCGGGCCCTGTGTCCTTCAATGAACGGAGAGAAAAGGATTTTACGGTGAGTACCAAAATCCTATTTTCTCTCCCGTTCATTGAAGGACACAGGGAACAGATCGGAGATCATGTACTGTAGGGACGTCACAGAGCAGTACCAAAAAAGAAGGGTGGGCCAACAGAAACAAACCCAACTAAACAAAAAAATTCCCTCAAACGGCCGCCTGTAACACTTTGCGCCCCAAACCAGCATCCGCAGATGCCAAAACATCCACCTTATAAAACTTGGCAAAGGTGTGAACAGAAGACCAAGTCGCGGCCTTACAAACCTGAGAAACGGAGGCACCATGACGGAAAGCCCAAGATGCCCCAAAAGCCCTTGTAGAATGGGCCGTAACAGAAAAAGGAGGCTCACGCTCCTTAATAGCATACG